CAAACTATGAGTGAAAACGTTCATTCTCAAAACATGTCGAACTTTCTGTTTCAAAATTAGATGCACGTATAAATCACAATATCAGACGATCTACCTTTGTGTTTACCCAGTTCTTAGGTTTCGCCAGGTCAAGCAGAAAGTTGTTGTTGATCTCGATCCCCACATGCGTAAGGTGTTTTCTGCGTTTTTAACATTCCAAGTAATTCGTTGGGATGAAAAAAAATTCAATATATAATAACGATGGAAATCGCAGAATCAGGTTGCGTATATTACACAGAGCCACACGAGCCAAGCGTTCACTCGAATTGCTTCCATATGTCAACGTCCAATGTGGGAAGGACACTGGCTGGTGCTCTGCTTTGATTCGCTAGCAATGTTAGTGCAAGCTCCCTTTCCACTTCCGTAGGCTTGTGCCTAGTCGATTCTGACACAGTTGAACAATCACTAATACAGATTGTATCAACATTCGTACCCGCACGGCCTGGAAAACTAGACATATCCATCTGCTGGACCTGTACATTAATCTATTTAAACACATCCAAATAATCATCATTTGGGGATCAATAAATGTTCACGCCAATAACCTGTCTCTCTGCAGTCTCCTCAAGATCTTTCAGCACAGAACCAATTACTGCTCTTGGAGATTTTTCATCTACCCTCGGGGGCGAAATCAACACAGACGCCGCCCTTAGCATTCTCGGTGTCGACTACAAAACACGCAATACTTGTTAGACACCCCCACGACAAAGATGTAACCAAAAGCAACGGTGTGTACATGTACCTTTTTACCACTGGACGGCCGACCCTCCACACCAACTACCTGTACGGGCGAAGAGGCTAGAAATTGGTCAGCGAAAGCATGCTCGGACTTGGTTTCAGCGGCAATTTTATCCTCCCCAATCTCAGCTGGAGGGCCTTTATCAGAAATCTCCTATAATTGCAAATGTTATTAGAATAGGCAACAACTAATGGATACGGTCTCGCGTGGACGGTCTCGCGTAACCAACCGAAGTTAAGAAAATTATAAGCTTATGAACGAGGATATGAGTGTTACCATATTTGCTGCAGCCTCTCCATCAGACATCTGTAATGCCTTGTCTATAGAGCCAATTGCCTTTGATTCCTCTCCCACCGCACTTCCTCCCATACCTACCTCATTCTTGGGTTGTCCATATTTGTCAGGTCGGTGATAATATGCGAGTTTATAATAGACGGGACGAAAAAACGATAATAACTTACCTCATCACCCATCTTTAACTCTTCTTTCTCTTCCCTCTCATCCCCGGACGGAGAAATGCTCCTCTTTCTCTTCAACGCACCCTCTTTTTTCCCAACCGGACTTAGCAATCCATCCATCTCGCCGCTTTCCTGGGACCTATCTTCTACCTTCTCTGGAGATAGGTTAGGCTCCTCCATCCAATCGCGGGGCAACTCACTGCCTTCTTTCAAACTAACCTCAAAAGAGAGTGATGCCATGTTTCCTTCTCCATCATCGGTCTGCACACGAAAAATAGGCACATTCAATGCTTATTATTAGAATTGTCCTATCAAATTTTTGAAAACCATATGGATCGAAAACACCCAAACTCATCCACAGTCAAATAACATTATGGATTGAAAACTATGGATTGGTAACTGGTAAGAACCATCCAACCAACTACGTCCACAGACAACAAGAACAATCACATAACGAATAACATACGACCTTAACCACATACGAATATGGATGATGCACCCCGTACACACACTATCGAAAATTACCTCGTCTTTTTTCCTCGATTGTTTCCTGCGCCTACGGCTTTGCATCTTCCTAAGCTGTGACAAACGTTGCCTCGTGTCAACAGCTCCTCTGCCCTTCAAAATCTTCATCATCTCATGTTGCTGTTACTTCAGTTTTTTAATGTCTTCACACCTCTCTTTCATCTCCGCCATCAGCCACTCCAATTGACTCTCTGTCGAAACAGTGTCCCGATGCCTACTTTCGCCAGATGAAGATGCCTTCGACATGGAAGGCATGTCTCGGACACCAAGTTTAGACGCGGCGGGCTTGCTCCTCTTAACCCTACTCCGATCATGGACATGTTTAATGTGTTCGCCTTTGGGAATAGCTTCCTTCACAACGATTAGTGGTTGCGTGTCGTTGCCACCCCACCATTCGCCCTTCCCAAATATGTGTCCTTCCTTTAGCTTCCTCTTTAGGTACTTCACCCTCCTATCTCTGACCTCGTCATCCCACTTCCCCCACCCTTCCTCCACCGGTTCTCGCTTTTCTCCTACCTCTATCATTGGCTGCACAATTAGCTGCAAGAAATATAGTCAGACACTCATCCATACCCATAAGATCAAAGTAATAAGCGTTGAAGCTAGGAATACAGTGGACTCTGAACTATGGATACAATGCAATGGACTACATTTCATGGATGGTCCAGCGCGAACGAACAACAACATGGGTTGTAAATAAACAGCCACAGTTGATATCAAAAATGGATGACTAAGCATAGAACCATAGTATGCTTCAGCGTGTACGTTTCCGACTGCAAACGATGTGTGATTTCAACAAATAAAAGTTAAACTTAACCAACTAGCTCACCTTGGGATCGTTCTCCACTTCGATTATATCATCCATCGAAATGGGTCTATGTCTGGGGATGTCCTCAACGCTAATTTCCAACAACGGTGTTTCGTCCGATATATTAGATAGTTTCGCAGCTAGAAGAGGTATCGCTCTATATGCAACTATCTGAAGAATCAGTGGGAAGCCCATCACCCGCATTGATCCCGTCAACAGTTGATCACATAACACCTTGTTAGGATCATCATGTTTACCATTGCGCAGTGGCCTCATCGTGATAATAGTGCGGAAGAAAGACTCTCTCCCCCAAGGGAATCTCAGAAACGACTCCATGTCATCAAGCATCCTAACGTATTTCGGGGTAGGTTTGTGGATCGCCGCACTCGCAATGAGGACGCCGTCAACTATCGTAATAAGCGCCAGCTGTATCCTTCTTTTCGGTGGCATCTCTGGATTCGCTCTCAGCTCATCGACTAAGTCTCCAATTGTGGTGTGAATTGAGTCCCCAATTATCTCCCTCCACAAAGCGTCTGGGTCCCGTGGGTGTTTCTCCATCAAATTTGGGTCATAGTTCTCGGGATAGTCTCCACACGGGAGTCCAGATACCCTACCAAAATCAGAAAGACTGAATCTTAGGGGATGTCTACCGTATACCGTCCACATCTTGTACTTATTCTTGGACAACAGCTGTCTCGTCAACATAGCGTGGACGAGCTTCCCGAAGTTTTGGCATAAGCTCGCCGGGAAATCGAATAAGACCCCAAAGCACGTAGAGCAGATGAAGTCGAACTTCAGTGAATCGCCGAGTATCTCATGAATAGTGGTAAGCAAGTCAGGTTTTGAATAGATATTAACCCTCGCACGAGGGAACCGATCCGTCGCAAACAACCACGGCGGCAACTTCGCGTCATGAGTAAGATTCCCGTCAACTTCTGCAACATCGAAACAATTAGAGATTCGCCCCTAAACTTAAATCCGGTAACTTCAATACTTGAGAATCTTAAACAAGTCATAACAAAAAATTATTGGTTACCCGGATCTACAGTTTCCACCGTCGTCATCACCAAAACCAAAGACAAAGGGATCTCTGAAATCAATAATGGATCCACCGTCACGATGCGCAGATAGGGTTCGCCTACGCTGCAGTAATGATTTCAGATAGTTAGTTTTTACAGCTGTAAAATATTATAGATAAATCTTACATAAGAAACTAAGGTAAAAGTATATTTGTCATTCCATCAATAAGAAGTACTGTAGTTGTTGATAGTGCATTTTACTGATATAACTAAGACAAAAGTACTCTTTTCCGTTAATATATCTAAACCTAAAAACCAAAATTCGAAACCCTAAATCGATTTGCTATCGTGTTGTTCTAGTCTCTCAGCCATGAAAGCAAAGATGAAGAAGGTTACAAAGGGAAGCGTAGGCTTTTTCATCAGACTCGCTTTCCCATGATCTCATGATGGAGATATTCAAACAACTTCCGGTAAAAACCCTAACCAGATTCCTCTCCGTATGTAAGCTTTTTGCTTCCATCATCCGCGATCGGGATTTTATGAAACTATTCGTGAGTGAGTCCTTGAATAGACCGAGAGGCCTCGTCTTACTATTCCAACGCACAGATAAGTATACTGGAGTCCGAAGATTTATTACACATGAAACATCATCTTCTGTTGCTTCTTTAGCCACTTACCATGTGACTTGCTACAAACGGCATGCAACGTTTATCGCTCCTTCTGTTCACGGTTTGGTTTGCTACGGGTTTGCTTCTAGAGTCGCGATATATAACCCATGCACTAGACGATCCATTACCTTACCCAAGTTCAATTCAAAGAGTACACACAAACACATATTAAAAAATATTACTTAAGCTATGATCCCATGGACAATGACTATAAAGTGTTTGCATCAAGATAGCAATTCCAGAGGAGTGTGACACACGCGGTTTAGCTATTGAAATATGGGTTTTGACATTGGGAAATTAGAATTCTTGGAAGATGATTCAAGCTGGTAATAATATTCCACCTCACTCTCCTATAAGTCAAGACTTGTGCATCAATGGTGTTTTGTATTATCGAGCTTTTACTGGCGAGGAACTAAAGGATACAGCAATCATGAGTTTTGATGTTAGATCAGAAAAACTTGATCTTATCAAAGCCGAAGAGCTTGATCTTATCAAAGCCGAAGAGCTTGATCTTATCGAAGGACCTCGCAGCTCTGACACTTTTTCAAAGCTGACAAGCTACGAGGGAAAGCTAGCTGTCATCTTCTTTAAAAGGGAGCACATTAAGAAAAGTAATATTGCTTTGTGGGTTCTAGAAGACGCTGCTAAGGAAAAATGGTCTAGGAAGACTTTTGCTTTGCCTGAATTAAGTATCTGGTTTCTTGAAATGTTTAAAAAGTTTCACTCCACCGACACTAAACACAGATGAGGTTATTGTTTCACAATATAATTGTCATGGGTCATCACTTAGTGTTGCCTATTGGGATCTGAAGGAAAATAGAGTGACAAGAGTTGACATAAAAGGAATCCGTGCGGGTCGTGATGTAGACTGTATCTACTCTGGTCAGGTTGAGAATCTCATGTTTTTCTAAGAGTCTTTTTGTTAATTAGTTGATAGAAAGAGAAGAAAGGATCATCATGTTCTTCAGTTAGTTGAATTTCATCTGATTTTCTTGAGAAGTTTTCATGATCTAGAGTAAGATATAGCTTTTAAAATTTATCCTAAGCTTTTAGATTGATTAAAAAAAATAACGATCTTTTAGATTTAGTGTGGCTAAACCGAAAATTCGATTGAAGAAACCGAAGTTCGAGAAATGCTAATTTAAGCCATCCAAGTTCTATTTGTTTCCTGATTTAACGAGTAAGAAGAATCGGTCTTTATCAAGCAGAACTAGATTTTCATCTTTTATTCCCTTTATCGTAGGATGTTTTTGTGGATATAGTTGCAACTGTGTTGCGTATATATACGAATGTTAAAGTTGATTTAACAAAAAAACAGTAGATCATTCTGCCAATTGACTTCTATCTTGAAGCTTTTATCTAGACCTAACAATTGGTATCAAAGTTTCTATCTTCACATCATGATAAAAGCTCTGATACCATATGATAGGTCTAGATAAAAGCTTCAAGATAGAAGTAAACTGACAGAAAACAAATAAATTTGCAGTTATAATTTTAACATTTTGCAATTGAACCGAAAGTTCTCCTTAAATTATGTTTTCAGAGCCTTACCGCATTTTGGTGCATCATTATTCCATTTCATAAAGTTTCCGTTAGGAGTCTTCTGATAGGTTTCAATTGATAACCTTTTTTAGAATTATGTTTTCGATTGTATCTATAGTTGGATTTTGAAAAGGAAATGTTGGAGTGTATGCACAAAATCTAAAGCGAAGGATTCGAGAAGTATGTTTTGCTTTTTCGTTGATATCTTTTCTTTGCAAATTATATTTCTGGTGTTAAAGAATAAACTTTCACGTAATCTTTTGCTAATTTGATTAATTAATTATTTGACTTAGATCGTTTTGGTTTTTACTTTTTAGTAATGTCGACCGTCGAAACAACAACCAAACTAAAGTACTAAACATCTCTGGTTGGTATGCATCAGAGACTCTTTATGGTAAGTGTTCAAATTGATGATCATTGATCGAAATGCCCCAGAATTTCTCTGTTCCTCCCATTTTTTCAACCTTCCATAAGAGAAAAATAGAAGAGATCAATTTCACAGAACTAGAATTAGATTTAAAGTTAATTTTCATTAAAGAACAATAAATATAGGTAGGGAGTTCCACTTCTACAGAGGGTCTCTGTTGTATCAACCAAAACTAATTAAGTGACGAGATAATTCTCTCTTATCTGAAAACTTTGATCATTACCTTCATATCGATATGAATGTTATCATGAACCTCTAATTTCGATTGTTTTCGCTTTTGATTTATGAATAGAACTTGTTGTAAGAACTATGAGCGATAAGAAGTGTCTAAGAATGAAGTCAGGGAGCTTGAGGAACTGAATATAAAATGATGATTAAGAAAGCGCAGAGGGCATTAGTTGAAGAAAAAACTAGATTGGACAGTTTCTTGGGTAGAAATTAATTAAAGAACACAGATTAAGCGCCGAGTAATCAGTTTCTTGGATAATAAGTAACTGATAAAAAGAAACGAATACTGTAACTAAAATAAATAAGCAATTAAATGTTGTATGATACTATGGGCCAAAATTTGTATAGATTGGGCCCAACGTCCTTAGATCTTTTTGGTATAAAAGTTAAACTAAAACCCTAAATCACTTTCTAAGTTCTAACAGAAGTGATCGACGTGTCTGTAATCTCTCCGCCATGAAACCAAAGATAAAGAAAGCAAAGATGAAGAAGGTTACAAAGGGAAGCGTAGGCTTTTCATTAGACTCGCTTCCGCTTGATCTCATTGTGGAGATATTCAAACTAGTCCCGATCAAAACCATAACAAGATTACTTTCTGTATCTAAGCTGTGGGCTTCCATCATCCGCAATCGAGATATCATGAAACTATTCGTGAGTGAGTCCTTGAATAGACCGAGAGGCCTCGTCTTACTATCCGCATGCGGAGATGAGGATTTAGCCTTGTGATCGGAACACCCCATTAGATTTGATACACTTGAAGCATCATCTTCTATCGATTCTTTACCCACTTACCATGTGACTTACAACAAAAGGCAGGACACGTTTATGGCTCCATCTGTTCACGATTTAATTTGCTATGGATTTGACTCTAGACTCGGGATATATAATATAACCCTTGCACTAGACGGTCCATTACCTTACCCAAGTTCAATTCAAAGAGTACAAACATAGTCCAATACTTAGGCTATGATCCCATCAACGGTGATTATAAGATGTTGTGTGTCACGAGGGAAATTCTTACGCCGGGAAACAAACGCGGTTTAGCTATGGAGGTAGGGGTTTTGACATTAGGAAGTGGTGATTCTTGGAAGATGATTCAAGGTAAAAACATCCCACCCCACTCTCCTATAAGTCAAGACTTGTGCATCAATGGTGTTTTGTATTATCGAGCTTTTATTGGCAAGGAACTAAAGAATTCAGCAATCATGAGTTTTGATGTTAGATCAGAAAAGCTAAGTCTTATCAGAGCCGAGAAACTTGATCTTGTCAAATGACCTCGCATCTATTGCAGTTTTTCAAAGCTGACAAGCTATGAGGGAAAGCTAGCTGTCATTTTCTTTGAAAGGAAAGAATTTAAGAATGTTGCTTTGTGGGTTCTTGAAGATGCTGCTAAAGAAGACTGGTCGAGGAAGACTTTTGTTTTGCCTACTTTAAGTAACTATTATCCCAGGTTTCAATCCACTGACATTAACACATGTGAGATTATCTTTGGCCGTGGTGTACGTGTGAGTGAATCACCAGTTTGTGTTGACTATTGTGATCTGAAGAAGAATAGAGTGAGAAAAGTTCAAATAAAAGGAATCCCTCAGGGTCGTTATGTAGCCTCTTTCTACTCTGGTCTGGTTGAGAATCTCATGTTTTTATAAGAGTTTTTATTTTATTTTATGTTTATTAGTTGATAGAAAGAGAAGAAAGGATCATCATCTTCGTCTCCATACCGTCTTTTGTTATTCAGTTAGTTGAGTTTTATCTACTTTTCTTGAGAAGTTTTCATGATCTAATATATTAAGATATATATAGCTTTAAAAAAATTATTTGTAAACTCAAGTTTATTTATATAGCTTTCTTTTTGTGTGGTAATTCTTATATTAAGTTATAAAAAAAAATGTGAGAAATTTCTAAACGATATAGTGAAAAGAAATACTAGGTTTGTTCTGTTTCCATGATGTTATAAGTTTCCTACCTTTTTTTTAAAGCACTTCGAACATATCCTTAAAATAAATTAAATAGATCAGAGCATTATCATGTATTTGTTAATCAGCCGAGTGCAATAAAAAGGTAGGAAAATTTTTTTGGGGTAAAAAATGTTAAGTTATGGTTGGTGAATGTTGGTCATCTGTTCATAAATCCAAACAAACTGTTTTTTTTTGTATATTTAAATCACATCTCACGTACCACATGGCTTAGGATTATCACTAGAAGCTAAATAATCAACTAAACCATAACATTTTCTGTATATTTTATTACATTTTAATATTGTTGGACAATCGGACGAAACAATTTACGTGGTGTGAGTGGGTTTGGCAACATCATGACACATGCTTGTTTCAGAATTGTTCCTTTTTTCTCATTATATAGTAGTAGTACTAAAATCGTACTATTATATAGAATAAACAATAATGAAATGACGAAAAAGAAATGATTAATAAAATTTGTGTCACGTTTCTAACAAGTTCGGGAGAATTCAACGGTCGAGATTACATCATTGCCGATATACATATGCCGTTTGAGCGATCGGATGGGCAAAAAAGAAGATGATGATAAATGGGCCCCGCTTGATAAATGGCCATTTAAAGCTTAAAAAGCCCACTCTCAGTACAGAGATAGATGCCGTTGGACTTTGGCTTTTCTCTTTCTTTATTCCCAAAAACGCATCATGGTTTCGCCCTTCTCGAGCCATTCCCGTCTGCCAATAATAGCACAACACGTAAAGTTTTTAAGTCCCCGCACGTGCAGAACTCAGCAGTCAAACACTCATGCTAAAATCCTGAAACCCATGATTTATTTACAACCTACGTACGTATGTATAATATTTACAGCCCTTATTTACCTTTTTCTTTGCATATTCTTTTGTTTTTGGTCATTGCTTACATACACGTTTGTAGCTATTTTGAATATGCATGGTAACAGGTAACAAGTGTTCTTAAAAAAGTAACCGGAGTAAATGGCGTCAGATATATCTGAAATTAGGTATTTCTTTCTGACAATTTTTCGGTGTTACTGTTCACACTAATAAGACGTTGCTCTTTTTAATGTCTTCGTCTTCTTTGCCATTACCAGTTCGTTCAAGATCATTTTTTTATACATCTCTAATTTCTTTACTAATTTGTTTGTGTGTCTCTCCTTTATATAAATTTTGAAATTGATAATGGTAGTGATGGTGGCGGTGGGGAATAATGGTAAAAGACGATGATGGTGGTGATGTTGATAATGGCAGTGGTGATGGTTATTGGTGGTTGATTGTGTTGATGGAGTTGCCGGTGGTTGTGATGGTAGTGGTGATGGTGATGGTGGTGATGTTGGTGATGGCCGGTGGTGGCGAAAATGTTGTTGGTAGTGGTGGTGATAGAGTCACCGGTAGTGGTGATGGAGTCACCGGTGGTGGTGGTGGTGATGGTGAGGTGGTGTTGGCGATATCCGGTGATGATGATGGTGATAGTCGGTGGGGTGAAAGATGGTGATATCAACGTTAACACGATAGTTATCATACTCACAACGTTAGCACAATAATTTTATGATATGATACCATTGTTAACATAATAATTTTGTATAATTTATACAGTTAACAAAGCTAACTCTAATTTTTATGAAATAATAGTAACATTAACATAATAGTTATCATATTAACTTGATAATTGTATGATGTGCTAATCAAACATCATATTAGTTAGCATGATAACACAGTTAATACGGTAACTATTGTATTAACGTGCTATTTATTTCAATATGCTAATAGAACATCATATTAGTTAGCGTAGTTAACATAGTTATCACGATATCATATTAGTTAGTATGTTAATCGAATTGTTATCTATCCAAACCATATCAAATAACTATAAGGGCAAAATAGTCATAATTTCTATATATAATATGTATCAACCTAATTATCAATTATCTGCTCCGAATCTTTGGTTTTTCTATTAATTTGGGTCAATTATTAAATTTACCCTTCTTAAAACAGTTCGCTTAAACATCTAGCTATTCATTTCAGAATTATTTTTTAAAATTCATTTTTTTGTCATTGATTCAAATACACATTCTTATCGATTTAGACGAGTGCTGGATTTGTAAAAAAAGAAAAAATAAATAAATTAATTGATAACGCAGTGTTACTAAACAATTGCAATATAATTTATACCGTTTAATAGTTATCAATCACAAAAGCAGTATGAAAAATGTTATTAACAGTATATATTCAGCTTTTTATACTGTTTTTGCTTACAAATTTTTTAATAATTTTTAACTCTTTTATAATTACTTATCACTATAGCTTACCACTAAAAAATATAGTTTACGGTTAAAATTTTCATATCGTTTTAGATTACCAAAAAAATCCAGCTTACTGTTATAATCATATAATAAATAATATTCCCTCTTTTTCAAAATATAGAAAAACACACATATTAAGACAGGTTTTACTTTTTATATTTTCTAAAAATCAATCATTATTTTGCAACTAAAAAGATGAATAACTCATGTTTATTTTTTTGCTTTTCAGATTTTTAAATTAAATTATTATTATTTTTTGCATAGAATCTGTAAAACAACTTATATTTTGAAAGAAACTAAATTTTTAAAACAACTTATATTTTGAAACAGAGAGAGTATAACTTTAAAATTCGAGATTTGTACTAATAATGGTTAAAAATTATGAACATTTTTCAAAAAAATCTAGGCGATTGCTTTAGACTTTGCCGTTTGGGATAAAAATTGAAAATCATGTTTTAATAGGAACTCAGATTTCAGGGGAAGATAACAAAAAAGTCATAAAGATTTATTGGAATCAGCTATACGGTTTCTATTTTCTTCCAAAATACCAAAAAAAACAAATCTTTTGAAAATACAAATTACACTAAAGAAAAGATAGGTACTTCAACAACAACAAAAATCACTTGATCTAAGCAGGTTTCAGTAGTACATGAAATCATTTACCAATTCTACTTAAAAATTTGAAGAACTGAAGTCAATGTTTAGAGTAAAATTTCTAGATGGCATGTATTGGTTTTGTTTTGCCTCTTGTACTATATTCAGATATTCTAGGAAGACGATTCTATATTTCAAAAACAAATAATCAGATATTCTACTAATGGCAACTTTTAAAACTAGGAAGACGATTCTATATTTCAAAAACAAAGAGAGGATCAAGTGAAACAACTCTCCTTTTCCTCCCTATTCTCGGGTCTCTTGCAATGAATCACTTACCTATGCATATACTTTTCAGAAAAATACAAGTTGATATCATATTCTAAGAAAGTAATAAATGAGATACGATGAACAAAAAAACACGAAACAAGTACCTCGAAAGTAAAATACCTTTATTCCATACACATTTGCATTGCATCACATACTTATTACTATTGTCTTCTTTGGTTTTTCCACAACACTATTCTACATTTACATATTTACCCTTTGAGCCCAAAATGTACAGGCACAAGTTTTCCTTTCATGCTTCATTCTATTATCTTTCCCACTTTTTACCCCCCTCATATCTACTGGACACTACTATGTTGTTAACCTTTTCTTTTTACATTGCTTTAGACCCATTATAGACATATATATACATACATATACCCCCCCCACACACTACTAGTGATTGTTATTAGCATAAGACTTATATACATTACCATTTTCTTAGTATTCTATGATCAGTCCTCCAAATGGAGCACGGTGAGGGATTCCCTTTCTTCGTTTTGCAATTCGACGATTTACAGCTGATAAAGGCGGTGTCGATGGAGTGAAACTATTCATGTCATCGTTCTTCTTGAGTCTTCCGATACTAGTACTGCTATATGAATCATCAGAATCAGAAAGATTGTTCATCCAATCCTTTCTTTTCTTGTCAGAATTCTTTGACATTCCAGAGATCTAGTTCAAAAAAAAAACAATAGAAGATATTAAAGATTCACAATGTAGGTCTTATGCTGTTGCTTGGGTTATCTTAGTAATTGTCATAGTGAAAGCCATAACAAAAAGTATGAAAGTGAAAACTGAAAAGACCTTTAAAATGGTGGATTACTTAAGAACGAAGCTTTAAATTGACTTGGAATTTTCTCCCCCCATTACTTTTCTCGTCAACCCAAATGCTATTACATTTTTTCAAACTCCACAATTTCTTGAAATTGCTATCATTGCCCCACATTTTCTAGCCCACCCAACAAGAAAATCCCTTTTTTTAAGTCCTTCTCTCAATTCCCATCAAACAATATTAAAGAATATAAAAGACGGTCTACATACAACATCAATATATAAAAAAAGAAATTATTGAATAGTAGTTAGCTTACCTATTCAACCAAAGTTTATACTTATTATATTCTTCTACCTAAAATAGTCTTTGGTTCAGTAAATTAACCCAAGAAAAGGTAAATATATTTCTCTACAAGTAAATACATATTCACAGGACCCAAAAGCTGACGTTTATGTTATTTACCCGGCTTCTCTAGACCCAAAATACTAGAGGTTACAACTTGATTTTCCCGCATTTTCTCAACCAAAACATAGAAAAGTTCTCTTAATTACTTTCTCAATTCCATCAATCCAACAATACACAACCAAAAGCATTTAAGATCATAGACATTAACTCATGCACTGTGTTTTTCACTGACATTTATGTTATTTACCGAGTGTTGTGTGTTTTTCACTGACATTTATGTTATTTACCCCCAAAGAAATCACAGTGCAATAGAAAACAAACATAAAACGTTCTTTGTTTTTTAGGGTTACCTTGCAGCCAAGAGAACAGAATCTGAAGGAATCGACGAGGCTCCGATAACAGACCTCGCAGGTATTGACAACACCTTTGCCTGGTCGAGGCTGAGGTCTCTCGTTCAAGAAGACAACCTTAGCACTGTTAATCACATATGTCTGAACTCCTGTTATGTCCAGAAACTTCTGAATCTCTGATACTCTAATCACATCGTGATACGATGATCTCCTTATCTGTATATATAATCAAGAACCGAAGTCAGAAAATCACCAAGAAGAGTAGATTACCAACCAAACTAACAAAATCTGGATTTACCCATCTTTCTCTCTCAGTAAAAAAGATAAAAAAAACTTTATTGTTTAAGTAAATCTAAAAATGGAAAGAATCTAACAAGAAAGTGAAAAAAATTAAAAAACGAACCTGAATGGCGTGATGATCCTTGTGGAAGGAGAGACAGAGAGAACAGAGAGGACCATTGGTACAGTCTAAACAGTACATGTTACACTCACTCTTGTGTGAATCTGCGTGTAATTTGCATTGTACGAAGAATTTCTCTCGAAGCAGAGGTTTTAGCCATGGAGGCAACATCTTATTGTTTTCTTCTTCAGCTCCCTGTAACCAGAACAATCTCAACATGATAAGAATAAAATAACCAGAAAAATGGTTATACGTTTTGATAAATAGTTCTTATTGGAACAGAGTCTAAGTTATAATAAAAATCATTTTTGGGGAAAAAGATTCGAATTTTGAGAGAACCCATTTGGGGAAAAAGATCATAGCTTAAGAAAAAAAGAGTTTTAGGTGGAACTTGAATCGATCTCTGAAGTAGAATTAAAACAGAGCATGGTGATAGAACCAAATTGAAGAGAATACATTTGAAGAAATAAAATTAAACAAAAAAACTGAAATTTCAAATATCTCTCTTCTATTCGTGGATTCTTATTATGCTTACCATGGTGAATCTTCTGTTTGTGGGTTTGATTTCTCTGACAGTAGCTTGTTGATTCTCTTCGATCGCCAGTTTTTTTAGTGAGAGAAAGAGAGAGGGAGAGGAGAGAGAGTGGCAGAACAGAGCAAAGCAGAGGAGAGAGAGAGAGATGCGCGTGTAAAAACAAGAACAAAGAAGCGTTCTTATCCGCACAAAAGTCGACTAAACCCGAACCTAAACCCGAACCTGAAACCCGAACCTGAAACCCGAACCTGAGATATATTTGCTTTTGCTATGGAGAGGGTTCAATGAACCGAACCCACCCTTCCCACTTTCCTTCTTTCTTCTTCTTCTTTTCACATTTATTATTGTTAAATATTTCCACAAATAAACTAAAATTCTTGTTCATTACATTTCAACGTGATGGGAAATAATCAAAATATCCACTTCACTTCAAGACTTGTGGACAAATCAGGAAAAAATTAACTGTTTTAGATCGTCATTAATGAACAGCAAAATAACTATTGTCATCTGATTATCAACTTAGCTCTGTGTTACACATTGATTTGTCGCATTAGAATTTATATCCTCAAAAAAGTATAGCCTTTTAAGTACGATTAAAAAACGAATTATTAAGATTTTCTTCGGGTAAAGAAAATACTTGTATTTAATTCGTTTTGAGTGCTAGAGCGAAATCCAATTTTTGGAGCTTACTCTATCTGAATTATCTCTATAATGGGTTTTGTGTTTGCTTTCTCTAGCATTTGGTACATATGCGTTCAAGATGTTTTGTGGTGAACTATTAAAGAATGACATAATTTTGTCGACGATTTCAATGTTTATAACGATTTAGAAATTCAAATTTAGAACTAATAATCTAGTGGTACCAAATTTGCATAAGTAATATCATAACATACAGTACTCCATGCTAACATGTGCATCTTTGTATTTTGGTTGAGTAACTATTAAAAATTCATTATTACAGTCCTTACCAAATAATTTATTTCTAAGTTGGTTTATTTCAACCATTGTTATTTTTGAAAGCGGTTTCTTATTATTTGGTTGAAGCTATATAAGAAGTGTTGGGCAGAGTTTCAATCTGAAGAAGATTCAGTGTAAATGGGTTTTTTTTTATCTTCAATCTCTGGCTAGAGGTTTTTTTTTTCTTAGTTCAACATTGTTTTTGTCATTCGGTGTGGACTTAATTACTATTAGACACTAGCCATAAGAAGCAGTAGTTAGTAGTTACATTTACATGTACGTTTCAGTTCATTTTTATTTCTGACAGAATGTTTTTTATATTGCTGTGTTTTTACTTTGAAAATCTGTGTGTCCGAGCAAATATTGTAAAATCCATTATGATACCTTTTTAAATCATTGTGGATGGTGTAGCTATTGAATAACCATTTTTAAAGACTATAGAATTAGTATAAACTATGATTTGATAGGGTTGGGTATAACAATTGAATCCTAACCAAATAATCTTGAACTGTATTAAAACTTTTTGAAATTTTATTTCAAACCAAATCATAAAATACTGTTATTCGAATATAATATAAATTTTACTAAATCGTACTATTATGAAATCGAATAGAGTTAAGTGAACGAACCAAGATTGATAAAATTAACATTTCTTTTAATATATTAAATTTTTAAATATTAATTAAAAAGGATTTAAAAAGAACTGAATTGTTTAAAATTAAACCAGGATAAAATTTCATTTCAAATTAAATTTATTATCTATATTTCAATTGAGTGATTTATACGTTTTAGGATTATAGATTAGTAAACCAATTTTTTTAACATCTTTAAAATCTTTTAAAAATAACATTTAAGTTTTCAACCATTTAACCGAACAAAATATATTTTGAATCAAATCATTTTCCTGTCATAATCAGCTTGAGTTTAAGTGGTTAACAATAACAATAGGCTTTTACCAAATAAAAAACTGGCTATAGTAGTACCTCACTAATGGATATCTATGTATACAATTTTTTTTTTTATAAAAAAAAAGGAGTTATGAATTTAAAATTGAATTTGCAGTATGTGTCTAAATGTCACTAATTATATGAATGGTTGGCATTAGTGGTATGTATTGTGATGATGCCATTTATGTTACTATTTTATGCAAATTAACTTTCTTTAATTTAGTGGATGTGAATGTACAATGAGAAAAGAAAGATACTGACAGCCTTAATCAATGAACACATTTATTTATGTTCTGTCTTAATCCGTAACCTCTTTTTTGTTTGCCTATTCTTTGTCTTAATACCATTCTTTTTTAAGTGTTCAGTTTTTTTATTTTTACATCAGTCTCCTTTATTTAATAGTGACAAAACCTATCCTTTCATTTATTCTAACAAATATTAAAAATTCAGCATTAATGTTCATAATATACAATGTATGATAAAAACACATCCTTCATTCTATTCTAATAAATATTATATAATGTAGATTCACCTACTACTCACAAATGGAAGTTAATTTAAATTGTATTATGACATTAGACCATCTGCATTCTCTCATCTAATATTTAATTATTATATTTAGTATAATTTAGTTTTTGAAATAATTTAAAAAAACAAAAAATATTAAATCATTTATAATAAGACAAGTGTATCAAGAGTTTTTACAGAGTCTCTCAAAGTTTATCGTATGAGAAACTCATTTTACTTTCTTTCTTCTTTTTTTTTTTATTTTTTTATTTTTTTAAGTTGAAAAACTTCGAAACTTGCAATGTAAGTGCTCTTATTATTAGATTACACCCTATGAACACATCTTAGGTAGCATATATAAATCGTTTAGCCATAGATGCAATAACTTGAAATGATTACATTTATATTAAGAAAGTTAGTCATTAATCCTAATTCTGAAATAAACTTTGAACACAACTAAAAAGTATATATACAGCCCAACCTAATATAATTGGGCCATGACACAATTGTTAAAATCATAAGAACAACAACTAAATTTACGAGTAGTCAAAATGTTGAATCACGCAAATGTGTGTTACCATCATACAAATTACTAATTACAATTAAAAAATTGTGCGGGATGAGTCTTGGATGAAGCAACAGAGAAAATATTAATTGGGTTGGCTAAGTTTTCAACTAATCCTTTGAATAATAATGATTTATATAGCGTAGACTAGCTCCATTATTTATTTTATATTCTCTAATTCCAATTATTTGTGGGTCTGGTTTAAGTCAATCGTCTATGGTTTCTAACTTTCTAATACTATCATAAGAATTTCTAATTTTTTAGTCGCTTGCCGGAAATAGACGACAAAATACCTAATCAGAATATTACATGTTTAATGTTTTCGATGTCTCTTATAGATTGGTCCACTAATTTGTGGTAATACTATATTTTCATCAATAAAATGAGGTATAATATTCGTAATGCATATATTTTATGAACACAACTGCAAATATATTTTACATTTATACCAAAATGTCCAGAACGTTTTTGTTTTTTTATGATTAAAAAGTTTTGAGTCTTGATTCATACATTTTCCAGACCAAAAATCATTGCACATAATATAAAACGTAGACCATGTACGATCTAATGTGATACACTCCAAGAACTTTACGATATTCAAAATGTTTCATATTTGAAGTTATTATTTGGGTGTTTATAAGTGTAAGGTTTCAAATAATTTTTTTTAAAAGAGAAACACGTGTATAACCTTATTATTATCAAAATAATTGTCTATTTATAGATTTTACCTCTCCCGAGTTGTTGGGTTATGGGTTATCGGATCCTAGATCAAATGTACTCACTCTCTGTTAACTGCTTAAGAAATGCGTGATGTGTATATGGCATGCCTCGATCAGTCGATCAAACACTTGTGACTATCTATGATGTCCAGTTTCCTCTTTATAGCTTAAATTTGGGTTCTCTCTTTATTCGTTTTGTTTGTTACGAAAGCGCATCCAAAAGCTGGACTCCGAGCATGTCAGACACAATAGGGTACTCACGTGGGTTTCTCAAGCGGTTGCATGAAGGCGTTTTCGAGGTTAAACAGAGTTTGAGCGACTCTACACTCCTTGGTTTTTGGTGAAACTCAGCGGATGTTCGACTGATGCAAAAAGATTGTTTGCAAAGCTACGGATAAAATACACATTATGGTTTGAGATGGATCAATTTTCTATTTTTCTCTTTGCATTTTTTGTTCAATATATGCATGTATTTATCGGTGTAACTCTACTTTTGATTTTGTTTTTATTTTTAACAACCGTAGTTGATGTAAAAGCAATAAAAAAAGATATTTCTTTGTTTTAGATAATTTTCCATATGAGATACTCTGTGTTTACTCAAAATATTGTTTTAAAAGGAAATATATCGAGTCTATTTAGAAAATAGCGAAATGTTGTTAAAAGATTGCAATAGTAGGGGTATATGATCAGTGTTTTTTAATTTCCTATTTATAAATGCTCCAACCTCAATTATTGAAGTAGATGGAAAAACAAATAAAAGAGCAGAAAAACTGTTTTGCGTTTTGTTCATATGTCAGATTATCTGGAAACTCGATGATTGCCACGTGTCGGAATCTGAGAAAGCGAATGTTTTGTCGCGAAGCGATGAGCATATGGAAAAAGAGATTTGGCAACTTGTGGAAGTGGAACTGAAAGTAAGTTGGCATGATGACTTTTAAATGCCACGTGTCACATAACCCACTTGT